GATTCCGTTTGAACCAAATTTGAGGTCAACATTTGAAATTCTTAAAGGTGATATTTTTGCATCATTAAGTATAGTATATTTGAAATTCCGTCTAAAATCATCGGGTCTTTCCTTAGCTAAATCATAACATTGTCGATCTAAAAAAATGTATTAACGCATTAAGAACGGTAAAAATTGATATTATCGATGATTTAAATTGAAGACGTTAAAGCAACCGACCTGGACATGATAACTGGAAATTTAATTCAATTTTTGCGTCAGATTCAGGAAAACAATCACCAACTTGGAATCGGGTTTCAAATTCTGCTTCGGAAACTGCTTTTTTAAAGTCATAAAAGTCTCGAGTTATCGTTTCAACGAGAACATAATCACTCTGACCGTAGAAAAGTTCAAGGCAGAAACACAAAAATTAAATGATCATATAAATGCAAGAGTAATTATGTATTGTAATACAAAAAGTGATTCAATTAAATGTAAAGAAACTATTAAACTTACCGCCGAACTTTTTTTGTAAGAACTTCTAATCGCTCCAACGAGAACATAATTATAAAATGTATCACTATCTCTCTGTAAAGTAGATATTGACTTTGAATAAATTGGAACTTTCTAAATAATAATGAATTCAAACTTACTGAATCAGAGAAATAAACTGTTGTCACAACTTTAGCGTATTTTGTTGATCCGATTGTTATATCATATTCAGTTGCTTCCCATGCTTTAACTCGGAATCCAGGTCGATGTTCCTTATATAATAAGTAAACGATTTCAATAACATGGTATTGATAATTTGGTTGTTTTCCTTTCTTGTTCATCAACTTACATAATCTACTTGTCCCAAATAGAGGTAATTCTTATCCAGCCAAAGTAAGTTGAACAATGAATAATATCCTTTTTCAGAGACACCCGGTGATGAAGTTGTTAAAGGTGATATTAAACAGCCATAGTCTTCTCGAATATGTATCAGTCCTAAATTGTAATCGTAAATAGCATCGACTTCGACTCCTTGTGCTGTTGTTATGAGTCGCATAATGGACTTATCATCGTCAATGTAAAACTATCGATTGAATATAAAAATAGTTGAAATAGTGTTGAAGTTTCAATAACTGGGAATCAATTGTTACCTCATTTCTGGTAGATGATGATGTTGGTCCAACAATGTTTTCCACTGCAACCAGTTGAATCTGATGAGCGTGTAAAATAGGCAATGGTGTACCTGGCGACAAATAAACTGGACATCCTATTCCTGGAGGAATCTGAGCGATCTTATCAAGTTCATCATCAGTTTCCTCATTAATATAAATATCCATGATAAGGTTTTCCTTTTCCGATGAGATTGGTACTCCTGGATCGCGACCTTCAAAGACGATCCTACTAGCTCTAGTGATACCTTCGTATTGGTCAATGTTTTCTAATTGACAGAAAAGTTAATCATTTTTAGATCAACGATGAATCGTAACTCTAATTAACTTACTCTTGTAGTAAATAGTCATTTTGAACCTTGCGTTCATTGTCACCGTGGAACTATGCATTTGTGTACCTCTCACTTCGTCGTCATCGGCGGGAGACTGAAGAAAAGTATTGAGTTTATTAAAACCAATGGAAAAGTAAAAGATCAGATTATTGAAACAAGTGGAATTCAATTACCCAGCCAATTGAACTATCATCTATACGATAGATTATCGATGGTCCGAGCAATAGAATCAGGTTCAGTAATGGCTTGGTGACCCCCGGCAGTTGCTTGTCCCATCCCAATTTGTAAGTGAAAAGTTCACATGATGTTTCTAATCAGAATAACAATCGATGCAGCGATAAAGAGAAATTAATTGTTTATTGTTAACTTTTTTTCTGGTTTTTCTGGTTGATTGTAACAAGTGTATCAACAGATGATTAAGTAATCAATGTTACCTAATTGTGATTAACAAAGATAAACACGGTAACTTACCTTTGACAATCAAACGTTGATTATTTCTACCAGATGAATAATGAACTTCAGATGAATCAGTTTTAGATTCAATTTCAATTTTACCCTGAACATTAGGATTTACGGAAATGTATTCTTCAAGGAAAAGGTATCACCGAAGACTTTTTGAGACAAAGAGAATCGATTGAAAAAATTGATAAAAATATTAATTCTTGGTGTTAATTTTATCCAAAAACAATCAACTTACTTTATCTGTCAAAGTTGCATGAATGATAAGATTTCGATTGGATATTTTCAAAGGTAAATCAAGTAGTGACCCTGGTAATTGTCAACAATTGAAAGAAATAATTAAAATGAAACAAAAACTCACTTGACTTTCTTATTGACTAAAAGATTGATAACAATGATACCAATCAGTTAATTGTCAATACTTACCAGCATTGGTGAAAACAAAAGGTTGTGTTACAGTCAAGATAACAATTAAGATTAATAACATTTTAAGAGCTGATTGTTTACATGGACTATTATAAAGATTAAGACTAAACGTAATTGAATTACAATCAATAACTTTGACAGTAAGTCAAGAAAAGTTATTGAATCAAATTCAACTTTTTCCTCTGGCAGAATGATTGTAATTATTCAATTTTGTGTTTTTAGTTTTCTTTTTTTTTCTAATTAACGCCCAATTATTGATTGTTGATTGGGAATCAGTAGGATTAAGGCTCGAATAATTCAATTAGTAAGAAAAATTATCACGATTATTATCAAAACAGCCCATCAATGATTACTGATACATTTAATTCAGTTCGTAATCAAACATATTTGTAATAGTTTTTGATTCATCTCGAAAACAAAACAGTAGTTGATTGATAATGTGATAAACATGAATGAATACTGATATAAGATGGCAATACGCTTGATTCATTTGTCTAATTGACCAGTTAACTGAGTAATCAATAATTTAATAATGGTTGATTCAATTTTTTTTCAACAGACTCTCAATTAAATCAAAATTTGGAGACTTAAATCAATTAAATGATAGTAATTTTCGTAAGCAATGAACACAAGTATTGAAAATTGTGATTCTTGCACGAAGAAAAAACAATCTAACCTCCTTATTAATTTATTGATCATTTCCACGTGTATCAGATTAATTAAGTGCAATTTATTAATCTAACGTAATTTTTTAATTTTTAAATGAGCATTCAGCAATGATTTACTCGGTGCTTTAATAGACCGTTTTTCCTAAACAATCAAGAGCACGATTGATGAATTACTTTCAATATGAATCACGTAAACAATAATGTTCAAACTTATTTATCTCCATTACAATGATACATTTAAACGCCCTTCGAGTTATTTTTTATGTGTGATAATGAAGATTAGTTATTGATGAGACAAGAATAAATTGTGATTGTGAGTTTGTTTGTAATCAAGTTTTCTCATTGAATTAGTTCATTGTTGGAGTTTCTTCGACTTTTTTTAGTCCGTAATTATCTCGATCGGCCTCCCGAAATCGGAAAAGTGATACATTTTGATGCAAAAATTTTTTCCAACCATTTAAAAGTGCGGAACTTAGCAAACAAACTTAGCTAATCGAGTTTTTGATCTGGCTTTCCGTTCAGGAATAGTTGATATTCAAAGGTGCGGGATAATCCCTTTGACTTTCACAGGAAAATTTTGGACTTTTTTGACTGTCCTGAGATCAAGTTCTAGTAAAATCCCGATGCCAAAAATGGTAATTATATCAAAAAATTAATCTCTTGAACTAATTGGCCTTAAACCACTGACTGTTTGTTGGATTCGGTAAATAAATTGGCCTTATGCTAAACTTATTAACATTTGACGACTAACGGACAAGATTTTTGACTTGAATTCATTTCAGAAATACAATTATTGTGAGAAAAGCTCTAAGTTCTAATCATTAAAATATCTAGGACATTACAAGTGGAACTTACAACTGAAACCTCGCTAACAAACTCTTTGAAACCCCCAGATCATGATTATTAACAAAACTTTTGAAAACTTTTGATAATCCAGCCAAAAGTCCGCAGACCTTTGGACTAACTTTATTTCAGGAAATTTGTGAGATTTATGAATTCAGAAAAAGTTTTTCATTGACAAATTTGTTTTCTGGATGAGCTTTTAGGCGATACTTTCGATACTTTAGATTAATACTTTTCGCGAAAGAAACTCAACAATTGTCAAATATTGGTATTCTATTAGGGTGTTCGATAAGTCGATATCCTAACCATGTTAGACCTAGTTGCGCGAGACGGTATCAGGCCAAAAATGACCTTTACAGTGTCGAGGTAAAGTAAGAGAAAGAAAATTTTTTTTTCTTCTTTGGTTCGCAAATGCTGTTGAAAAAACCAAAAAATCGCGCGCGAAATTTGAATGAACGGAAAAACGACCTTCGAAAAAAAGCTCTCTTAGACACAAATAAAGGCCAAATCAGATGAAACTTTTTTCATGGTTTACTGAGGGTTCAGTGCATCTGAAAATGGTATAAGTTTTTCAAGATTACGCATAGACAAGTTTTTAAGGGCAAGCAAGATGGATGGTCCATGGAAGCGGACTATGAACGGGTTTTGGCCTCAGCCCTGTTTGTTATAAGTTTTTACAAAAAATTCTCAACGGAAATACATGTCTAAAGGTCTCATGTCCTCATTCTAGGCATTCAACATGCATTGAATTAACTTTTTCATTCGAAAATATCAACCTTAAGTAACTTTCCCACGCCGTTAGGTTTTTCACGGAAAATTCAATGGGCTTATGTCCAAGAAAAATCCGTATGTTCGCCGAACTGAGTTTTTTTCTTGTCTTTCGCTTAGTGCATTTTATTGTGCGTATTCTGATGATCAATTAACTTTTCTGAACTCGAAAAAATTCAAATATGAAAAGTGTTACACTCTTTAGAAGCAAAAAAGGCCATAATTTCGACCTTTTTTTTGAAAAAGCCGCCCTTTTGGTACAAGGAGGGTATTGGTAAAGTGAGTCTACGTTCTCAAAGGTTAACCACTGTAGGAATTAAATGCGCTAAAAATAAATTTCTCAACTTCCTTCTAACATGGTTAGGATAACGACTTTTCGAACACCCTAATATTATAACCTGTGGGGATATATTTATTTATTATCTATTAACGATTTTCTTAAAACATGAACAATAAAAGTTTCATTTAGCCAGCAAAGGCGGGGGCTGACATCTTAATACCCATGACTGGGGTTTCGAAACTTATGATATCAGAATCTGATGAACCTTTTGGATTTGAGCCTTTCTTAGGACCTGAATTGGCTTTTGCCATAGAAGTTGCAGAAGAAGAGCTCGAAGATGGATTAGGATTGGATCCAATTGGTTTACCTTTACCATTTTTTGGTAATCCTGATGGAGATGATCCTGAACCTGGGGCATGTCCTATTCCGTTATTGTTTGTGGTGGACTTTGAAGATGAAGATGAAGATGAAGATGATTTAGCTACACCACTTGAAGCTCCTTTTGAGTTTCCACCAGAGCCAGAATTAGAAGCACCGTCTGAACCTGAGCTCGATCCTGAACTAGCACTCGAATCAGATCCAGAGTTGGTTTTAGCAGCTTTACCTGATTTCGAGGTATCACTGTCGGATGATGAGGCAGAAGAACTAGCGGCAGATTGAGCTGTTGAACCTTTTTTACCATTAGAACCTGAGCCACTGGTTGATCCTGAGCTTGAATTAGCATTATTAGTATTAGATTTATTAATTGGGCTAGAGTTTGGAGTTGATTTAGATTCACCAGTTGTTGTCGAAGCCTTCAATTCGCAGTTGCTTCGCTTGACGAGCTTGCACTTGATCCGGAGCCTTTTTTACCAGAGGAACTTGAGCTATTTGCTGAGCTCGAGCTAGAACTGTTATTGGTGTTTGGTCTATTGCCTGGTTTTAGACTATTAGTATTAGTTTTGACTGTTTTCATCTTATCATCCATGATTGAACCAAGTCCAATCTTAGGAATGCTTCCTAATATACCAAAAGCGTTTGTCATATCGGTATCATCATCATTGTCTTGTCCATCATAATCTTGCGCAGTGGTCTTACTATAAGTCCCTGAGCTCGAACTTGAACTAGCACTCGAATTAGATCCAGTGTTGGATTTAGCAGCTTTACCTGATTTCGAGGTATCACTGTCGGATGATGAAGCAGAAGAACTAGCGGCAGATTGAGCGGCCGAACTTGTATTTTCTTGACCGTTAGAATCTGAACCACTGGTTGATTCTGAAGTTGAAGTTGAACTTGATCCTGAACTAGAACCGGAACCCGATCCAGTGGATGATTTAGGAGCTTTACCTGATTTCGATTTATCACCGGTAGATGAAGCAGCAGAACTAGCAGAAGATTGAGCTGTTGAACCTTTTTTACCGTTAGAACCCGAGCCACTGGTTGATCCTGAACTTGAACTTGAACTTGAGCCATCTGTATCTTGTGTATTGCCTGAATCAGCATCATCTTCTTCACTAGATTTCGAGTCCATCATTGATATTAATTTACCAGTTTTAACTGTTTTCATCATATTATCCATGGTTGAACCAAGTCCACCCATAGAGAAGAGTTCTGATCCCCTTGAAGCGGTTGAAGTGTCGGTTTCATCATCGTTGTTTTGTCCACCATCGTCCCCTGTTTGAGTGGTGGCCTTACTTTTTGATCCTGAGCTCGAACCTTTACCTTTTTTATTTGAAACTGAGTTAGAACTAGAATCAGTTTCTGTAGCTACGGTAGATTGGTCATCATTCGATGAAGCGTTTGAACTAGTAAATGGACCTTTTTCTCCTCGTGAACGTGAGCCAGAACTTGTGCTACTTGAACTATCTGCATTCGATACACTTTTTGAATCAGAATCAGAATCATCTTCTTCACTAGATTTCGAGTTCATCATTGATATTAATTTGCCAGTTTTAACTGTTTTCATCATATTATCCATGGTTGAACCAAGTCCACTCATACGGAAGAGTCCTGATCCACTTGAAGCGCTTGCTATATCATTTTCATCATCTTGGTCTTGTTCTTCATTATCTCCTGTTTTAGCATTGGTCTTTCTACCTGTGGTAGATTTAGAACCAGAACTAGATTCAGAACTAGATTGAGTGCCCTTAGCTGAGTTATTTTGGTCATTCTTTGTTGCAGTATCTGAATACGCCGTTGATTCTGCCATTGCTTTCGAATTTTTACCATTTTTATTACTTGAATCATTATCATCGTCGAGATTAGAGGCTGAATCATCATCTGTATCCAAAGGTCCTGGTCCAAAGCCAAGAGACATGAAATCTCCCATTGAAAAAGACAAAGCATCGGTATCAGGCAACATTTCCATATCAACATTCAGAGACGAACCATCCATATCTTGTGAAGAGATGTCTGGTTTAGTTTTGCCCATTGAACCCTTTTTAGAATTTGTTGTGGAAGCTGTTGATGAGGTCTGTGAAGAACCCGTTCCTTTTTTTGCAGAATAATCATCGGAAGAACTTTGGTCGTTACTTGATTGAGAATCTTTATTCGTAGTTGCTGATGAAGATCCTGACATCGAATTAGCACTTGCTCCTGTTGTTTCTGTCGTTCCAGAAGAGCCACCATTGGAGGTACTTTGGTCGTTTCTTGGTTGAGAATCATTATTGACGTTTGATGACGATGCTGCTGCCGCTGCCGCTGCTGAACCAGAAGAACCAGTATTATCACCACTACCCGAACTATTAGCAGTAGCTCCAGAAGCCGCTGTAGCACTGCTACTAGCCGCTGCACCTTCTGAATATGAGGCGTAGGAATAGTTGAATAGTAATAAGAGTAAAACACTTAAATTGATTAGTCTTAAAGTCATTTTGTTAATCGTAACTTTTCAATTTCAATGTAATTGAATAGAAGAGGTGAGATATAAAGTAGTTGACTGACAATTTCTCTTAAAATCTATCGCTTTTTATACCATAAAACAGTACATGTGTCGAACTTAATCAAATTGTGAACGATCTTGATTCTATTGATGATTCAATATAAAAGGTTAATTCAATCAGCTGAAAAAGCAAATGATGTTTAGAGTTTAATCAGATTTTTACTATTTACTTTGAGAATTCAATTCAGATCCCATTGATATTTTACCAAAAATCCTTCGGTGCTCAACTGTTATTCCAACTTTACAATGAGAATAAAAATTAACCTCATGTGAGATTTTCAGGAATCGGTTCAAATAATATTCATATTCATTCAACTGGTTTCTCGTAGTACAATCATGTTTATTCATCTTTGAACTTGAGTTCGGAAATAAACTACAATTCTTGACTGTTTTTCCCTAAAAAAAACTCGAAGAGCCTAAGGCTCAGTTAAGTTTGATCTCAATTGATTAATCAATATCTTTGGATAACTTTAAATTACATATGGATCATTCTTACTAATTAGTAGTCTCAATGGCTAATTGAGAATCAGACAAACAATTAAACAAAATGAGGATCCATGATATTAAATTAACAACGAAATTGTGAATATGATTCATTTTAACTCATGACGATAATTGAATAGTAATTGACTAACGATAAACGAATTTTTGAAAATCGTTTCCCTATGAGCCAAGTACTTAACGAATCAACTTATTACAATTGTAACCATTTTTTTTATATAAATAATCATTTAATTTGACTGTGAACATAATTATCCAAGAAAAAAAACTGATTAATATATTAATTTAACCTTGATGAAAGTTATATGTACTCAGCTAAATATCCTCAGGACAATTAATCGTATCCTTTTAATTGGATATTAAGTTGATTGGTTTTAATTTTCACGTAGGCACTTTTCATAACATAATAATTTCTTAATCATATAATCAAACTAATACGTTGAATCAAATATTTGGTGGTAATGATAAATATTAATTGTTACAATAAGTTTATGATTTAATCCGATAATTTAAGTTAATTACTCTGGAGCAAACGAGAAAAGATAAGTGTAATTGCCTCAAATTATTGATTATCAATTGTGAATCAATCAATTTCAGTTTGGAAATAAGTTTTAATTGATTTTAATTGTAATGGTTAAAGTGATTTAGTTAAATCAAGGTCATTGTTAACACCATGGAAATTAAGTAAATTGTTAAGTGATCATGGTTAACATTTGAACAATAGAGATGTTAATTGTTTGGGTGATGGAACTTTAACCAAATGATTTACCAGTAGATTTCAATTATTGTTCAATATAAACCTGATACCGGCGACAATTAACAACAATTTATAATCGAGTAAATTGTTCTTAATTGTTAGTTTAACTTTTTTTTTCTTTTGTTCTCATCAGCTAAAGTTCTTGAAGGACTCACCTGAAGTAGAACCGAAAAGAAATCAAATCTTTTCTTCAAATTTACTTTTCTTTTTTTTCTTAATTGTTATTGTTCCCTTAATCCTATTATTATAATTATCTCTGGTTGTGGTTGTAATAGTAATCAGCTTATATTAATTGTTGGTACTTTCTTTGGTTGATCATCAAAATTTACTCGCTGGTAACATGAAGTTAATCACATTTGATTACTAAATTTTCCTAGAGCTTCCTAGATTTGTTTTGTTCAGTTGATTGAGATGACAATTGATTTTTTTTAAATTTCGTGGGAATTAATGATTAAGTTGATTGTGCTGGCTGATTTGTTTCTTTATTTACAAGGAAAAAAAATTGATTAATCCGTCAATTTAGTTGCGAGCTGAAAATAACACGAAGTTAAATCAACATCTGATTTATTTGTGGTTTTTTTTTGCATTTATCTCAATCAAGGTAATCAAAGTGAATCAACAAAAACTAATTGACTATTAATTGTGTTGTCATATTGAGGTGATGATGATTAAGTTTTGGTGGTAATTGAAATGATACAGTGAACAAACAAAGACAATTTGGTGTTGATTTGCTTTCTTAATTTGTTGTTAATTTTTTACAAGTCCGGCTTGAGATATTGTCAAGATGTTGACTGTGTGTTGATTGATTGTCGTTGTTGTTGTTGTTGTTGATTGTGATGAGTATTTGTTAATGATCCGTTGGTTAAACGGTGTTGAATTACATTTAAATAGTAGCAAATTATGATGACTATGTTTAGAAGTGCAAAGAGACACTCATATAAAGGAAGTACCCTGGGTACCGTACAATTAGATGATGAGGTTAATGATGATAAAGATGAAAGATTTAATGATGATTGTTGTTGGTGTTGATGTTGATGATGATGGTTGATTAACGATGAATGAAATAAAGTAGATGATGATGATGAATACATGATTAGGAAATAGAGACCATGGAAAAAGAGAGCAGTAAACTCAATCAGTCTAAGGGTGAAGATGAATTTTCCCCACCATTGACGGGGCTTGAGATCAACATTCGCAGATAATAGGGTATTGTGACCGAATATGAATACACCCGCAATCAGGTCACAAAGAGGGTAGAAAACGGTCAAGGTACCAGGATAGTTTTTAAGACCCAGATAGACAAGACCAACATTGGCAAACGTCCTAAAAATCTCGATAAGTTGAATGTATCGGCGTTTTTTCATCAAAATGTACATGACGGTCTCAAGACATTCCATTATTTTGGCCCAGAAAAAAATGTAAACCACGTAAACGGAAAAGAGCCGTTTGATTTCCTTGGTTGAAGTGTCAATCGGCTCACAGGACCAGCAAATTGTCCCAAAATTGGTTGTCCAAAGAGCCAACAAAAGGCCAACACCATGTACACCAAACTGGTAACCATTGTAAACCAATAGATGTGGATAAAGGTTAAAGGGTTGCCTTAGGGTCATCCATTTGGGTCCAAATACTTTAACGAAATAATAGTAAACAATGAAAAGGACAATCAGTTTTTTAGCAGTTTCTTGACTATCCTTTACATTGAAAAATAGTTTAACATCCAAATCGCCCATTTGATTGTGTGACATTTGTTTCTACGTAATAATTTGATATTAAACACTAATTAAATAGTAAACAATTAATTACTCATGAGAAAAAGTAAACAAATGATGTCTGATTGAATGAAAAGCCTGTTAACACATAGAGAAAATAATGAGAAAAACAAGACGCGTGTTTTTCTTATGGTGGAAAATTGAATCACCCGTTGATTAGAATAACAATTAAAAAAGGATCACTTGGTAGACAACAATCAGTTAATTGAAAAATTGAAATAAAACACAATAAATAAAATAATAGGAAAAGGAAAAGGAAAAAAAGACAATCAAACTGATAGTTGGTGAAAGAAAATTGAGAAACAATAATAATGAGAAGCAAAGTAGATGACTGATGATGTTGATTGTTTTGTATTGGTTGACTAAATGTTGCTATCGGACAATCAGTTGATCATTTGGTTAGTCAATTGTAAACACTACAGAAATGAACTTATGTCACCCAGAAAAAGGGTTAAAATGAGCTAACAACAGGTAACATTTTCCAGGTAATCGGTTGTTGTTGTTTCTTGTTGTCCTGATTGGCGACTGGTTTTAGGATAAGAAAACTGTTCCTTCAAGAGTAAGAAAAGAAACTTTTTTTAGAAACAAACCAGTCTTGTCTTTTTCTGGCTCTTTCTTTTTCTCTTATTACCTGAATTCATGAAGAAGATGAAAAAAAAAAGGTAATCATGATGATGAGAGTTCTAAATTTACCTTAATATATTAAGAATTAGATGAAGTTTCGCCTGGTCACCAACTAATATAAATTCCTTGAACTAGTTTCTCTTTTTCTTCATTTAGAAAATGATCGTACTTGATTTAGAACCAATTCTAATTAACATGATTAACTGAATTAGTTGGTGGGGGGTGAAGATGATGATTCAAATGATAACCTTGAAAGATACAACGGACATTTGATCGTTTCAAGTTCTTAATTGATTGTTGATTGAATGAAGAATCAATTATTCGCTTTAATCACAGTTAATGGAATAAAATCTATTTTCTAATTATTGGTCAAGTTGTTTATTAATATTCGTGTTTTGTTTGCGTGATATTACAAAAAAACTTTGTTCGTTTGACATGTACGAGGTGATATGTTCAAACTCGAAAAAAAGTAATTACATTTTCGATGTGATTAGAATTATTATCAGAATCGGTTTGCTCACATTTAGTACTTTATGGTTTTGTCCAACGAATTTCAAAGTAGTGAAACTTTTTCGTTTTTTTTTTTCAATTCACGAACATTTCGTTCCCCGATTGTTCAGTCTAATTGTTCAATAGATTAACGGAAATAACATTTTAACTTTTATTTCCTTTCTTTTGTGGTTAATTTATTCATTTGTGATGTTTCCTGATTGACGAAACCAAATCTCCAAGTTAAAAAATCCTCTTGATTCATAACATGAAACCAAAACACTTTCTTTTGGTTTTTAATTGTGATCATGATTTGTAGAGTTTTCCGAGCTTTCGTTTTTTTTTTGGTTATTCTTTGATCAGAAAAACACTTTGACCCAATTTCTTAACGATGATTAGTTGCACCAATTGATTATCGCAAATATTCTTGGGTCAATTTTAATTTAACATCATCATCATCGACTAATTTAAGGTAAGTGTTGATCAGCGGTTGTGGAGCTCCTTCATTACCGAGGGTACGAACGACACGTTCAAATGGAATAATGTTTCGAATCTTTTTCGAACCAAGGAAAGTCTAACATTAGATGAGAAAACAATTTGTCAATAATCATCGAATTACAAGATTAATTTAAATAGTAGTTACCTGATAATGGAATAACTGGTCAATTTCATTCCAGCGTTTTGTCTTTGCCAGTGCTCGAAGTGCAGTCCAATAATATTGTTTGTCGGAAATGTTATGATTGTTTCGAATCGTTTGTGGACTTCCAAAGTGTGTGGGTGGATTTTTACTATGATGAACAATGGAATAGAAAAGTGTACTGACCACTGATGACCCTAAAAACGATGAACCGGGTGGTAGTGATTCAAATCTTTCATTTGCCTCCATAACCTTAGAATCAGCTGAATCAACGGGTAATTGATATTCGAAGAGAGTAATTTGCTCCATGATTGTTGGACAATATAATTCATCTTGAAGATCTTTAAAAAAATTATTGTAACAATGTTTCAAATGCTTAATTTTCGTCTCCATGTGTTGACATTTAATTGCAATGGAATAATTAACAATCGCTGCTTCTTCCGAGCGGCCCAACATTGCAAGGAAATCGGTTAAATCTTTAGATCGATTGGTTTCTCGAAGTAAATCAATATAATGATCAACAGCCGTGGGTCTAATTAACAATTCCATGGCAAATATACGCCAACATAAAGTTTTCTCAAGAAAAATGATCACCGCAATTATCGCATCACCATCATAAGTATTAATTGCTGTCTCTAAAAGAGATAATTTATCCTCTTTTGATTTGAAAATTGATAAATTGGGATTCTCTCCGTTAACTAATTGCTTTACACAAGCGTCAATCTTACTAGTTGAACCTGAAGTTGAATAATTTTTACTTGAAATCTTTTGGATCGATTGATTAACTCGCTCAACTGCTTCCTCTGGACTCATCAATTTAATTGTATCAGGAACTGTAATAAAGGGAAACAATAATATAGCAGAATAAGAATGGAAATATAGTAACAGCAATCAATTGAATCATCGTGAGAAGGAAATTAAATTGATTACCATGAGGCTTTGACAGGATTTCCGTTGGTTTGGGTGAGGTGCTCGTGAATTGTTTCTGATCACATAATGAATCAATATCCTGAAGATTATTAAAAAGAGAGGATAACAAAAGATTAGAGAGGGAAAAACGTGAGTTAATTAACTAGACAAGATGATTCAGATTAAAGGAGATTAACATGGGCAGAGAAATGTAATTATTTTCAACAGTCAATGTCATTGATTGTTGACTCTCATGGCAATTGGGACTTTACAGTGAATATTGATGCCATGGGTTAGTAATCATTGAATGATCTTTGAATGATTAACTAATTAAATAGATGAGGATTGTGGTGGATTCAGGCGGATGGTTCAGGTTTTAAGAGATTATCTTCCTTACCGAATCATCTTCAAAATTGAAGGACATTGGCTTTGAATATTCCCAAAAATCATCGACTTTACCTGACTCAGGCCTACAGAAAATAGAGAGAGTGAAAGTGAGAGAGATTGTTATTTAAGATTAACCCTGGATTAGAAATCATCTTATCAAGTCAACCTTTATTACTTCTGGTAATTAAAGCTGACAGGAAAATGATGAAAATCTATTCAGTTAATTAGACACAGATGATATTTGATTATCATGAATGAATGAAAAATTCAAGGGTAAAAATTGATTCAATGAACCACCATAAAAATAGATAATGGTAATAAATTAAACAGAAATGTTTTCTATTCAATTGATGGAAAATGATGGAAATTATTACTTACCATAGTTGAGGTGATTTACTCGAAGACATTGTTAAGAAATTAATTTGTTGAATTAAAACACAACAATTAGCTATTTGAAATAGAAATAGAAAAATAAATTGTTTGGTTTGGGAAAAAAAAACAAAACAAATCCAATGATTGAAAGAAACCAATTAAGTCAACTAAACATTTTCCACTTCATGATTAACACAATTTTATGGGAAACATTAATTACTCATTATTGTACAGGAATTATTATCAAATTAGAATTGATAATTTAGTGAACAATTGAATCAAGAGAATTTAATTAAGACATTTGATACAATTGGATGATGAAGATAACAAACATCATCTGTTTGTTTATTTACCTTAACGGTCACATGTTTGGATCGAGTTGATTTTTTTATCCAAATTCAAATGGTTTTAATCAAGTTTCGTGTTAATTTGTTTTCTAATTTATTAATTAGATGGTTTCTTCATTTATTTCTTTTCATAAATAAGATTACTGTTATTTTGATTATGAATTGAGAATTGAATACGATTATTTATTATTTGATTTGTTCATTGGAATGAAATTAATCATGTTTTGAACATTTTATTAGCTAAATTTGTTTACTTTTTAGTGTTTGTTTCAAGTTAATTACACAACCCGAAAAATGAAGCAGAGATACCGAGATTAATTAGAATAACATGAGATTAATGATTATCATTTGGATAAAAAATATTAGATTAACCAGTTTTGGAAAAGTATAAGAGATTAAAAGAATTGTCCAGTTTTGGCCTCGAGTATGGAGAAAACACCTTTTTCCTTTTGAAAGGATTTGTACCAGCAATGGAAATGATAACTGATTAGGCGACCAGTGGGAAAATTGTGTTCAAAAATTGTTCGTAGCTTATTTTGATTTCACCTTTTCGTTCAACGTCAAAGGCTGAAAATGCTGATGTTGCTCCTTGTAGGGTGACACAAAGAAGGAGAAAATTGTCAAATATAATCGATTGGCCAGTTGGATCACCAAATTTCTTCATTAAAAGATGATAAGTGGACTCTGATAAACGGTAACCAAAAGAGTTGAGAGCATGGTTAAGTTCATGTTTAGCAATTGAACCACTTCGATCAGCATCATATTGACGGAAACAATTAAGCCAATCATTGATAAATTTCCAAAGTTGTTTAAACTCATTGTAATCAATTGTTTGACTTCCATCTCGATCAAACATACCAATCATCATCTTAATCAATTTCATATTAAATGGTTCCCAAGTACCATTGCTCAAAGCTTTTTGTAATTCCTCAGCAGAAATTTGTCCAGATCTATCTTTGTCAGCAGCACCAAAAATTTTATATAAATCAGCTTCCGAAGGCATAGGAGTGGCCATAGTTAACAACAAAATTAATCTTGATAAAAAAAAATCAGAGAGACAAAAACAAAATAATTAAACACTAACAAGTAGAAAAGATCTTGTAACGATCACAGAGAAAGAGAAGAAAAAAAAAATTCCAAACAAAGGAAAATCGGAGAAGATAAAATCTTTGACGAATTGACGTTTCTATCCAAAAAATCTTTGGAACTTTTTCACTTGAGGTAAAAAAATTACGGTTTAAAAGGGTAAATTCAATGAGAAATCTACTGATTGCCAATTAATTGAAATCAAACAAACAGAACAATAAAATCACAATCAAAGTTATTAATCAATAATCAGTTTTGAGAAAATTGCGTAACCGATATTTTAAAAGTCCAAATATCGATACAAAGGATCCGAAGTTCGAAGTTAAACTTTACGAATGAAGATGGAGCCACAAAATTCCAATTCCAATTCCATATGACAGTTTGTTTTTGTTTTTCTCTCTCAATTTTTGTTGATACTTTTTCATTCATTGTTATGTTTTCAACTTTTTCGCAAATTATTTAATTATTTTCACTCATTTTAATCGCTATTTAATGAGAGACCATATGAGAATTTTTAATGACAATTCCAGGGTAAGTAAAGTTGAATATCTTTGTGTAGTTTTTGTTACCTTTTCACATCTCAATGATTCTCAAGCACAATGAGCTTCAAATTTCACAATTTATTGTTGATTTTTTATTCCTTTACAACCACAAACCATTTAGTTTATTTCATCTTATGTAATCAAGTTAATTCTATTTTCTATCTTGTGCTTGATTTGATTTACGTAAACACAACAAATACTCATTAGAGGCTCTCTTTAAGATTGTGTAATCATTAGTGATACTTTTCTGGTAATTTCTTGTTTTACTCAACAAAATATCACTTTGAATTCAATTGAATTTAATTCATTTGATCTTGATTGTTTTTCTGTTGTCAGACAATTTTTTCTTGTTTAAAGTTACTTTTTTTTATAATATTCAATTTAATTCTAATTACTATACAATCTCATCTTTTATTTCTCAGTTCCATTTTGTCTTCTCAACTGATGGTCTTCAGTCAACAATCAGTGGACATTATTTGATAAGTTTTCTCTATTATCTATTGTGACCTGATAATCTATAATGAAGATGAAAAAGAGATTAAGTCAAAATATTGTTCACCGTTTACGGAATCGTGAGCTTATGGATATTAAACCAAGAACTTCTAAACATTACACCAATCGATGTTTCTATCAAAATATTTTCCCAAATATGTCTGTGATTAACATCGATAAACCTCCATGTTTTCTTAGGAAATTTACGCCCGATGGAAAATATTTGATCGCTTTCAGTAATGATCAAAGTTCATTACATGTTTACACTTATCAAGGACCCGCTGTAGCTAATGAGCTACTTGAAAAGATCAACATTGAGGGCGATTTTGTCGGTGGAGAGCGAAGTAGATTGGATGAATCAGCCTTCATTCAAGCAAATATATTTTCGCACTTTTTTAAGCTCAAACACATCGTCAATTTAACTTCAAACTACGAAAGATTAAACCGGGAATGTAGCCTGTTCACCAATGATAGTAGATATGTGATTGTCGCCAGTTCTGCAACAATTAACGATCAGGTATTTCCAAGTTATTATGATGTCCTTCGTAACAATGAAAGTATGAGTGTAAATATTAGATTTTTTCTTGAAGATTTTTGTATTTACCTAATCGATATGGTTAAGGGTAAAAAATGTGATCAACTGATTTTCAAAACGGATTATATTATATTATCTCATAATCAAGGACTCTATCTACACGATGATACTCTTGCCGTTCTTTCAATTCAACACCAAACTATTCACATCTATCATATTGTTGATAGTAGTACAACTGGTAAAAAATTTCTTCTCATCAATTCCATTGGTCGATTTTGTTTTGAAGATGATTATTTCGTTATTTCATCTCCCTTTGAAGAGGTTAATTCAATTTCTCCACCATCTTCCTCATCATTTGCATCACCTAACTCAACAGCATCATCATCATCATCATCATCATCGTCTTCCCTTACTGCTCGAGCCACTTCACCCGATCCAGCTTTCCATGAGGTTTTCATTAGTGCATTAAAACACCGATTTCTGGCCTTTCTTTATCGTCGAGCTCACAAAGAATCACAAACAACTGGAAATGTCCATCCGCTGGTCAATTATCATCGTAAATTTGAACACTATCTCTCATTAAGAATGTCCAAAATGCAGCTACTCGACAAAGATCATTTACTAATAAAATACGAGGTAAATGAGAGTATCACTTCACGTTTACTCGATAATCATAATCTCTCATCCTATTTTGTGGCCTATCAAATATCAACGGCCACCATTTTACAAATTTATGAGAACAATTCCAATGAATTGTTGCAAATATTTGAAAATTTTTGTGACTATTTTCGCAATACTCATTCTTATGTCTGTTCTGCTGGGAACAATGTATATGCACGAACGATTGCTCAGAGATTTAAAAAGTTACTCACTCGTGATGGTGGACCCACAGAGGCTACTCGTCGAATCTTATCTTTACTTCCGATTTCCGCTCAGTCTTATACTCCTTGTCCTTATCTTGATTTATCGTTATTCAGTTATGATGATCGTTGGGTTACTCCAATGGAGCGTCCAAAATCTTGTGGTGAATATCCAATACGATTTTATAGTCGAGATGATGGATCCTTAAGGTTCAAAATTCACGCTGATCATCAACATAACGATTCTCCTTCAGCGTTGAGATTAGTCGCTTTTTCCTTTCATCCATACGACCCTTTTGCTCTTAGCATTCAACGAACCAATTCCGATTTTGTCGTTAATCTTCATATAAGACACGTACCTCAACGACTTTGACGTTGTCACCTTGTCTTCTTAAGACTCCTAGAGCTCCATGTTGGAAATGTTACATCGCTGGAAGACCAACACAATTCCATTGGTATGATTACTGTCCCTTCGCTGCTGATCAAGAAGATCAAAGTACCAATGATGATCAAGCTGATACTCTCGCTGTTAATCAAGTTCATCAAACTGGTGATGAGATTGATTATATTCAAATTGACTGAATTATGCTGATAATTTCCTCCGTTTAATCATAAGGATGGGGATGTAATGTAAAGTCAACTTTTGGAAAGAGAAACCAAAGGATAAGAAATCCTCTTTCTTTCATCAAACATCACAACGGTCACAGCGATGCAAACATTTCGCTCTCTAGATAAAAGCAATTGGAAGGTGATAAAATATTTGAATGTTCATGGAAAAGACGGATTTTCCCATTGTTTCTTCATAAATTGATACGGATTTGAGTAAAGTTCCATGTTGATTGATTTCAATCCAAAATCAATCGGACTGTTATCTAAGATGAAATTTATCTTCATCGTTTCCGTGTCGAATACATTTTTCGTGATGAAGGTTACGGAGTAACTTTTCCGTCCAATTGTAAAAGGTGTATCAGCATCCAATCGGAATGGGTAATGAGGACATTTTCGGGTTATATTAGACAAGATTATATTGTGACCATAGCAATCAATATGATCTTCTTTAGACTTGTGGTTCCATCCGTTCGAATTGCTCAGAGCAACCAGTTAATGTCCATCGTAATTGTGTTTCATTAATACAATTGTCCAAATCTGGAGCCAAAACCAAATTTTCGAGTCGAAATACTGTTCATTCAAAGGGCAAACTTTTGACCATTAAGATTAAAATTGTGATATTAATTAATTCATCAAAAATTCAAGAAAAAGAGTTATGATTACAAATCAAATTTAATTTTAATTGGTGAAACAGTTAAGTTGTATATCATCAAAAAATACACTAGAAAAATGCATGAGAAAAGGTTTCTCAATTCACTTCCTTGATATTTCACCGTGCCTATGGATTTAAAATCTATTTTTCCCATTTTTAAGTACGTTAGTCAACTATATTCAATCTTTTGAGTTCTTAGCCTGTATTCACCAACCGAGATCAAATCTGATTCCAGGTTTAAATCAGCTGATCTCAGCTTTTGTGTTTCACCAACCACGATCAAATCTTGATCTCGGATCAGAGTTGTTCGACAGTTTGATTCCGGAATTAAAAATCATGTTTCACCAACCCGATCAATTATCAGCTTAAATTGTTGTTTCACCAACCGAAATTAAATCAATTGATCTTAGAATCAAGAGAAAGTCAAGATTAAATTTTGATTTGACTTTTTTCTTTTTCTAATCTAACTCATTTTTCCGAATTTTTTAATGAATTGTTTATATCATATTGCTCTATTATTTTTCTACAATTTCGCTATGTAAAGAAGATTTTTTTCACAGAAAAGCTCAACAAAGATATTTAGAAAACTTGATCAGTGTAATCATATAACTTGTTAATTGTTTGAAATCAATCTTAATTTCAATCTTTTCCATAAACAATTAATTAATTCATCCACTTCAAATTAACTGTTTTTTCTAAAGAGAAATAATTTTTATTGTTGTAACTGTTGTTATGTTTGATGATCGTAGGAAAAAATTAATTAAAAATTAGGGATAAAAATGAAAAAATAGGGAAAAAAGACAAAAACACGACCTTTTAGGGACAATTTCTTAATTGAATTAATCATTTATATCATAAAAAAATACACTAGAAAAAGTTGTTCACAAAAGGTATCAAGCTTTCAATTAAGCCAGTTAGCTTATCCTATTCAACGAGTGTTTTTTCCGGACATCTCCCAAACGATGATTTTTTTCAGAAAAATAACTTCAAAACTGAATTTTCCAGAAAAATTATCTATTTGATGATATCTGATTTTATTTCTATGTCTAGGCGGAATTCCCTATTTAAATGGTCTTCATCCTTTAATTGGTGAAACAAGCTGTTGAACTCAACTGATTTGATCTCAGAGTTAAGCTTAATCTCTGGTGAATACAAGCCTAAGATTTGATTTAATTGTTTTTCAAAATTTCTTGGTTATATTTCCATGGAAGTTAATTGAATTCATATTTTGTGTCCAATTGCAATTAACTGATTAGTGAAATTTGACTGTTCCTATTTCCGTGTTTGATGAACTTTTACATTTATTATTAGATCAACTTAATCTCAGTTTTTTCATTGAATTTTCATCCGTTTTCTTTACAGAAAAGTATTCATCTCATATTCTTATCCCTTGGTCAATTTCGAGTGCAATTCATCACTAGATTTACTATTAGTATAATTTAAGTTAACAGTTCAACTCTGTCCAAAATAAAAATGTAAACATATTTACATTGTTTTCGATCGATCAGTTGATACCGAAACGAATTGTTTTGTCAGCAATGAAGTTTTATCTTTAGCCTTATTTATCGACACCATGCCTCAACAGTTCTTATTTGTTTTCAAAATTCAGTGTTCCGGCATTTACCCTGTTGTATTTAATGGATTTATGATTGCTCATAAATGAGAATGATTCGAAATCTTTCTTGAGGTTATTCTATGGGTTAACATCGTGATCGAGTTATCATTTGATCAACAAAGTTTTAGCCGAATGAGGTTTTGATTTCAAGGTTATTCTTCCGAAACTGGTTTACGCTTCAGATGTCGAACAAGTCAAACGCCGTCATTTCAACCACTACCAGAAGCACAGTTTTTTGCCTTAAACACAGTCACTTTTGCTATAAATAGTTTGACAATTTTGATGAAATATTTCATTCGAGCAAACATAAAACATTCGGGTGTTTATAACTTGAATGTAGTATAACTTTAATTTACTAAGTCGCAGCTAGATCATCAACTTTAAAAAACTATTATTTGATAGTCTTGGTTAAATGACGGCGATTTGACTTATTCAGACATCTGCGTATTGTAGTTTCGAGATATTAACTTGAAGATCAAAGGCTTTCATTCCGGTAAAACTGTTGATCAAATGAAAGTGTCTGATCCACGATGTTAACCCATACTAGGATAGCCCAAAATAAGTTTCAGATCATTCTGACACTTGACTAATCGCCGTCCATTTATTTAAATACAACGGAATTGGGTCGGAGCACTTTGGATATTTTTACCAAAACAAAATAAATTTTCTGTTAGCATGAAAAGTTGTCGATAAAATAAAATTTCATGATCTAAAACCTATCGTTGCTGAGAAAAAGGACCTAAAGTTTTAACTTCGAACTCGATTTTATCGAAAACCACTGATCAGATCAGAAAAAGATAAATATATTTGGACTTCATATTTTTGGCCCTACAAATACACAAAGTTCCAACTCTTAACTCAAAACTAAAATTTGGTGTACATTCTCCTTTACTATTAGTATAATTTCAACACAACAATCAACTCTGTCCATAAATTTAAAAAATGTAAACTTTAATTTTATTCCCACCTACGAATCAATTAACTACCAAACTAATTGTTTTGGCAGTTAACCAAATTCCCTAACTATTATACTTTTTATGACCATTCAATTTGTAATCACTAATATTATATCACAATTAAATTATTCGTGGTTAACAAACAATCATTTGAAATAAAATTGAATGAAACATTGATCAGTAATATGCATTGATTTTAATTATCATCTTATTTTACAATTAGTTACCTTGGCAATTGAATTAGTTGAACATGATTTTAATTTTCCAGTTATTTAGCTTTCATTAAATTTAATCATTTAAATTGTTAATAAATAATAAACATTTTCCAATGGGATTTGGATGGTTCAAGTGATAATGATACATTTGGATTAATATAAATAAGTCAATAAATAGATTGGTTAAATTGAGACTTTACAATTAACAAGAGTCCAAAATTACAGTTGAGACAATTATCGTTATTATTACATTGGTTGAATAATTTGTGTGTAATTTTGAATTAAACTTTGTAATTAGAAAAAAAGACCAGAGGAAAAGAAGAAAATTTCTTCTATTGTGATTTGATTGCTCGACAATTTATCTACATTCAGATTGTATCAGAAAAAGAATGAAGATTTTCAAGCTCATTAATTAGCTGAGAATCGCTTGTTTCGTAGCAATTTACTGAGTGTAATCGTTGGTACGAATTGATTGTGCTTGTTTTTTTTTTCAGAATATTAATTGCGATCCAATCAGGACAACGAACTTGACTTTCTAATCGTTCGGGACTTGTAATGATCTATTTTCATAATTGAGCAAACTTGTGAAAATTTATAATTCTTTTCAATTAGTTGTACCATTTATATTTTTCGAGGATCACGAAGAAGCAAATTGGATAATAAAAGTTGCTAATCTCATTGGTGTTAATCGTAATATATCAACAAATGATAAACCAGATTTAATCACTTTGAGACCAGTTAATGTTGTTTCTGTTAACTTTTTTATCCGATGTTGAGTAAATCTTGATGCAAGTGATGATTTTTCAACTGGACAAAGTTGATTGTTTTCAAACAATTGACGATTATCAATTTTACAAGTGAATCCTGGTCGATGGACAATTAACAAATTTGATTCGGAGGGTTTATCAAAATCATTTGTTCGGGGTAACGATCTAATATTGACTAGATGAAGATAACAAGGCATTGGTTTGTTTAAGAAAGTTAATTTGATGCTAATGATTTATCCTCGGTTCCATCGTCAGCGAAAACAATTGGAGGATAAATTAAATCAGTCAACAAATGAAACGAGAGTTGAGATAAATTTGGAATCTCTTGAGTTGAAGGTGAAGGTGAAGTTGATTTGAGAGTCACTTTTCCATCAGAGGTGGTAAGTTTTCCACAACAAGGAGAAATTTAGATCGCGTCAACTTATTATCGACAATTGATTCGCCTAAACCACGATAATCATCGTAAAGAGTCCGACGATCCAACATCATTTCGAGAATACCTTTAGATGGACTTGTGACACCTCGAGAGTGAGATGTTAATACAGTTAATCGGCTCGTTGTGTCTTCGATATAAGCTGCTGATGTCATTGGATAATAATTGGCAGGAATTCCGACATCATTGACAAACTTTCGACGAATCATTTGGTATCCATTTGAATCAGTGTAAAATATTGGACTATATTCTTTGCCGTTCAAGGAAGTTTCCTTATTATCTAAATCAGTTGAGATTCTCATAATTAGCTCACGATCTTTGTACTCTGAATTGTCAATATTTAGACTTAAATCAATTTCTAAAGCAGCACCAATAGGAGCTTTGTCATGATAAACACGGAAGGTGATGATTATACTGGAAGAGTGAGAGACAATCACTTCGGACATAGTTGGACCCTTAATAAGACGAATGATTGGAAATCGGTCATGAATATTGACCAGGTCATCATCCGCTGTTGGTTGAAACAAGTAGGCGCCAGAGTGAAAGGGGACAGATTTGTAAGCGTGTAAACTGACGTGCATTGAATGGCTCCATGAGCCCGATGAACTTTTGAGAAGTTTGGGAAAACCAGTTGACCGGTCAAATAGAACAGTTAAATGAGGTGTTGTCAGTTCAATATCATCTTTGAATAATTTGGGGAACACAAAAGTCGATCGAAATGTTGAATCACCTTCCATTGAATCAAGAGATCGAGTTTCACTTGAAGTATCATCCATTAAGATGAAAACTTGAGACTTTGCTGCAATATCTTGTCCTCTTGGTAGCATTTTGATAAGGTAAGTTTTCAATGAGAGTGCTGGTAATCGGCTCATGAAGATGATTTCAAATTCTCGGTCATCCAAGTTAAGACTACTGTTCCAAACTGGGAAACTTGAAAAG